CTGTTATTTATTATAACTGCTGTTATTTATTATAACTGTTGTTATTTATTATAACTGTTATTTATTATAACTGTTATTTATTATAACTGCTGTTATTTATTATAACTGCTGTTAGAGCCGAAAAACAACTTTGGACTGCAGTCGCCTTCACACCTGTGGAGCAATTCACTCCTCTGTGGGGGGTCGTCCCCGAAACTCTCCACTCTGAGACGTGGATCCAGAAACCTTCGGTTTCAGAGAGAACGGGAGCTGCTGTGTAAACGAACGGCTGAACAGCAGCAGAACGGCTGAACAGCAGCAGAACGGCTGAACAGCAGCAGAACGGCTGAACAGCAGCAGAACGGCTGAACAGCAGCAGAACGGCTGCGGTTTCACTCAAAAAACACGTCACGGGACTTTAACCTCGTTAGATTTATCTACCTGGATTACTGAGCGTGCATCAGGATACTTTTTACGTATAATTTTACTGTTTGCAATGAGTACGTTTAAAGAACTACACACAAATGAGCTTCAGAAACGTGTGTGTGTGCGTGCGCTTCGAGTGTCTGTAGTTTAGTGAAACCAAAGCAATCAGGGAAGTCTTACCACAAATTTGATGGAGTCGATGAATCTCTGGTGGAACTGAGTGTGCTGGAAATTGTCCTCGGGGTTGTCTGCGCTGTAGATCATCCCACATGAGCTGCAGACCGTTGCTCCAAACTGCTTCTGGCCGGCGTCCTGACGAACAGAGCAGGACAAAACTGCCTCATTGCACACATGGTCAGCCTTGTTGTGACGCGCGTTAACTGACGGATCAGTAAAGTCTATTTCAGCGGCTCCCTTCGGCGGGGGCCGTTGCAGCTCGTGAACTCGCGTCAAAGATTTGGCAGTTGCTGTCCTGACTCAACCGGTGCTTGAACCAGCAGCCCCAGGACTACAAGGCTGCGGCGCTTCACCGGTCCTGCCTGAAAAATCAACGGGGTCTGTTAAAGTCTGGCTTTTAGAATCAGGCGTGCGCTAAAATCTTGGAATCGAAGATCGGTCATTTGAAGAGCTCATCAATTTCAGCAACGCACCGGGGCCTGAATTTACTCGTTTATATTACGCACCTGTAGCTTACGCCAGTAGTGTTTATGTTTGTTACGTTTACAGTAAATGTTATAAACCCCTGGACTGATTTGAATAAAGCTCTTATTTTTGGATGTGCAGCTGCAACTTTTAATGTCAACCCGATTCCTAATTATTAGCAACGATCTTACTCTTAGAGTGTCACACCTCCCAGATGCCACGCGATAACCCACATTACGTTACTTTAAAGTTTCCACCAAGACGACAACAGCATTAATACTCAAGAAAAGAGGATCTTGGACTTCTAGTTCATTTTAATTACTTTTTTTAAGGAATGCATATCGCCCACTGCCTTTTGTAACAGTTTCAGATATCATTTGTGTAGTTTAGGATTTTGTGTATAATGCAGAAAAATATACTGTAAATTCCACTTAAAGCAGAAACGATATCCGACTTCTCTTCACACTTATAAAAATATCGTTTGCAACTTTCCAAATATTTTTAATTGATGTTAAAATTTAAATATAAACTAAGTTTAAAAGTTAATTTGTTCCCCCCCCTCCACACACACACACACACACACAAGTGCATTAAATATTGCAACATTTGCCACTTTTGCACGTTGCCAGGCGTGTGCAAAATAAGCCGCGTAGAACAAATATAAGAATGACTTTCTTTAGGTGAAACTAAAACCAGAATTGCCCTTTCCAGAAAATCTCCATCAGCATTTACAGAACGTTTGGTCTGGTGTTTAAATGTGGACAAAAACAGTTTCACACGTTAAAGTTTAACTCACGATGATGAGCTGGTCGCCGTCCTGCTTCTCCCTCCTCTTGCGAAGGTTTCGCTCTTTGGTTGCAGCGACCGTCGCCTGCAGCGACGCTCCTGAGGAACCAGAGGGGGTGCTGCAGGAAACCGGCCGCACAGCGGACTGCTTTGTCCTGCAAAACAAATAACGGTGCTGATTTAAAGACATCAACGACCAAAACTAAAATTTTTAATAAATTTACTCTGTAATTCAGTTTATTATTATTATTATATAGCGCCAAGTCGCAACAGAAGTCTCAGTGCACTGTACAAAACATTCAAAAAAAGACAGTTAGTAAAAGTTATCTACGTGAGGAAGCGAGCGTCGACTCTTCGCTTCATCACGGTCGCCCATCCTGAGCAAGCAAGTTGGCAACAGTGGAAAGGAAAAACTTCCGTTTAACAGGAAGAAACCTCCAGCAGAACCAGGCTCAGGACGAGCGGCCGACTGCTTCGACCGGCTGGGGTTGAGTGAATTAACTTTATTAACTGATTTCTTAAATTACGAGTTGTGTCAGTTTATTAAAGGATTTCATCGTTTATTATTTTCTGTTTCCAGGGGAATAAACAAGTCCCACAGGCAGTCATGCATATGTTTCCTAATTTTTCTTACTGTAATCAAATGTAAAATAAACCTGAGCAACACATTAACAATGGTGTTTAATAGAAGCGGTAAATTATTTTTTTAAAGGCATAAAATGAATAATCCAAGGCCGCCTAAAGCTGGTGACAGAACCATGAAAGATAAATTAAGAGTTGGCATTTTAAATGAGTAAATTTAAACAAAATGCTCGATGGTTCAATGACATTTACCTTTAATTTGCAAAATCAGCACATTTACCACAAGTGTCTTAAAATGGCTCCTTCACGTGAACGTGCACAAACACTTGGGTTAATAAAAGACAAACTGGAACTTTTCTGTGAAGTCTCACAAAACGCATAAACCAGAGTTTGGTGAACTTTCTACTACACTCCTGGGCGTGCATCTTAAAAACAGAATAAAAAAAAAAAACTTTTAATAGTTGAAATCAAACACGCACCTTGCAGAGGAAGAGCCAAAGATGGGGTACACAGCTGCAGACGCTGGAGGGGAACACGTTAAATAAATCAACAGACGATAAAAGTTTTGAGTTTGTGTTTACGTAAATAATAATCGTGGACGTAGAGAAAAAGTAAAAGTACACGCACCTTTGCGGGCGCTGGTGGCAGCACCGGAGGGTCTTACTTCACTCAGGTCCAAGACGAGTTCAGAGCCACGTTGTTTTACAAGAGCTTCCTAAAAAAAATAATCTATATCATCTGATTTCACAGCCATTACAAGTCTAAATATCTTCTATGCAGCTGCAGATATTTTTTATGATGCACCTCTATTATTATAGGTAAGGCGACCAAAGTTAAAGTTAATTATTTTGAACAGTTTAACGTGTTTACCTGATCAACGCAGGACCGGGCTGCAGATTTCGGACTTGGCGTCACGGACAACACGACCTTTAGCTCCTTGGTAATTCCATATCTTTCCTTCAACACTTTAGGGGAACTAAAGGAGATCAAGACAAAAGTTACCCGACAACAATTTTTTTTTTTTAAAGGAACTTGCAAATATTTTAATAATTTGGAAATAAAAGTTTATCGATTTTATTGAGCAGTATCTATTGCAACAAGTTTATCTGCATCAGGTTTGTTTTAAACTTTGCGCAGCACTTTGTTCAAAGGTTGTTTTTAGAATGTGCTACAGAAATAAAATTTTAATTGGCCAATTTATTAAATTTATTGCTAGCAAGTGCAAAAATAAATATATTGCAATAAAAATGCAAGATAAAACTAAAGAAAGCCCAATCGAAGGAGGTAAATTTAAATAAAAGAGCAGCAAAGATTTCTCAGTGAAGCACCTTAGTGGTTGAACAGTTTCAGGTTCATCAACAAAGTCCGTCCAGTCTGTGGGGTCGAACTTTGACCTCTGACCCGAGTTTTGTTGGTCTTTCTTCGCCTCATCTTTCTGTACACCAACCAGGGAAAAAACAAAAACTATTTTTGCTTTTGTGTAATCCTTGATATAACTGCATCTATAAAAACAGACTGCATGGTCCAACATGTTTATAATTAACAAAATAAAACAGTTGTTTAACTTAAACCAGAAGAAGAACCTTTACAACAAAAACATGCATCAACCAATATCACGTTAACACCAAAAGTAGAGTTGCAAGAAATGCGTTAACTCATATAAGTACAAAGTATATTTGGAAGAAAAACATAATGTAATAATCCGACACTCACCTCTGTAGGGTCGTTTTGTTGGTTCGTCTCTTGAAGCTGCTGCTTCGGCCTCTTGCCGTTTGCAGCTTTGCTCTTGGCTGCAGCTAAAGGCGGCCGGGCTGAAGACTTCAGAGTGCACTTCTTGTACATGGACGTGGGTTTCTTCCCCGTACCAAAGAAAGCAGCTCCAACAAAGAGCTTTGGTTTGGGCTTCAGGCTGCTGAAACTGAAGGTTTTCTTCGGCTCTGCTGGTTTGCTGCTGCTGCTAGGTGGTGGTTTAGCAGCAACTCTGCTAACACGAACGTGTCAAAGATTCAAAACGAAAAATTACAAGCTTTAAATAGCTAAATAGAAATACTTGCCAGAGCCACAAGGAGGGATTAAACAAACCTGCAGTTGATTTCAGGCAGCTTGATCATCTTCGTAGAGGTTTTGGTGCTCGCCTTCTCTCCTTTATAAGAGCCTGCTGGTGTCTTTTTGGATTTGCTGCCTCCTTTAACATTTCTCTTCGCTGTTTTCTTGGTCAGAGGAGGAGGAGAGGGGGGTGCAGGGGGACGAGAAAGTAGAGAGGCCTTTACTGCTTTCCGCTCAAGTGGGGTGAGATAGACGGTCTTCTGTTTGCCATAGAAGGAGCTCGTAACCACAGGGAGCTTCAGGGGCGATGTGGATAGTGAGCCTGTCAAAATGTAAATCACGTCAGAACAAAAGTGTTTGAGCCTGATCTGACAACAGCCAGATGAAGAATATTCACAACTTTCAACCCAGAGGCTTCTTCTCCAGCACGTTCTACCTGCAGGCCTGGATGGGGACTTCTGAGGCGACCGATGTCCGTTCAACTTCCCAGCTGGAGACTGCGGGAGGTTTCTTGGAGATTTCCTCATCGCCTGTTCCCTCACACCCTTCTTGGCGGGATGACTAGTGATCAAGCACAACATCAAATAAATAACAGACCCAAGGATTTCACCGCTTTCCTCTGATGGAAACAATTTTGATTTTAATAAAAGTTGAAAATGAAGTTGGAACAAGAATGAGACAATGTTTTTGGAACAGAGCTCTTATGACAGGTTACAAAAACGATGAGGCGGCAGATGAACATTAGTCACTCAACTTTTAACAGTTTAGTTAAAAAAAAAAAAACATAAGGATTTTTAAAAAATTTTAATCAAATGAAAAAGTTAGTTCCCTAATGTGGAAAATGTTCTTCAGGCTAAAATGTGTTACTGTGCAAAAGTAACACTGAAAGTCAAAAGGTGAGCAAAATAAAGTGCATTTATAATGAGGATGTTTTGAGCAATGTAAATAAAGTGGGAACAAATTAAAGCGTTGCACCTGTAGGGCCGGCAGCACATCCTATCTGAAGGTGAACTATGGGGATCCGGCTCTTGACGTTTACTTTACCGTGTAAAATTAACAGAAACGTAAAATTTCAGTGATAGGAACTTCCTTTGTTTATTTTCCAGGCACTGTTGTGTTTCTTTCTACATTAAGATTCTCACATTTAATAATATTTGGTCATAAAAACTGGTTTTCACATGAAGCTTTCTATAAAAAATAAAAACCTGAAACAATTGTCTGTCTTCGCTAAAAAAAAAAACAAATAATGTTGCTTTAGGAGTGAGATTTATAAACTACAATTTATTGCTCTTTATTTTTTGATGATTTAATCCTTTTTGTCTGTACAGTTAAAAAAATGTTGTATTCTGTATGTTGCACAAGATTTTATCTTGAGTTGTTTTGTACATTTGTAGTTTGTGCATGTTCTCTCTGCGCATGCGTGTGTTTCCTCCCACAGACCAGAAACATGCATGTTGCATGTTAGGCTGACTGGTAACTCTAAATTGTCCCTAGATGTGAGTGAGAGAGTGAATGGTTGTTTGTCTTTTGTCTGTGTCCCTGTGATGGACTGGAGACATGTCCACTCCGCCTCTCGTACAGTGACAGCTGGATACGGGCACCAGTGACCCCCCACGACCCAAAAAGGAAGCAGCAGGTAAAGATAATGGAGTCATTTTGTCTTTTTGAAAATTAAATTGTGTTTATTTATTTGCACATAAACTCAAAAAGGCCTGCGGTTCAGCTCTGCGTCGTCTCACTTCAACAAACGAGTCTTCATTTGCACAAGAAGCTGTTGTTGACGACACAAATGCGTCGTTAGACCAGGTGGGCGATGTTCGGGCAATTTGTTTCGGTCCGTGGGCGCCATGGTGAGAACTCGGCTCGTTTGACTAATTAACATTAGAAAACAATGTTTTTACTTTTCCACCTTGTACACCCCACCTCATAGTCACTGTGGTGTCAGAGGTTAAGGTTCGGAGAGGAAAGGACTACAAGTTTGGCAAACTCACCCTAAAGCTAGAAGGTATTAATGTCTGTGAAGGTTTTACAGACAATTAAATCATCACCATTTAGGCGAGACAGGTGAGTTCTTTTTAAATCCACAGAAGTATGGGTGCAAATTTATCAGAACTGAAAATGTACAAATCAAAACTGCTCTAAGAACTGAACAGCCATTGCTCCTGCGGTGCAAAAACAAAAAGCAACTAAATGTGAAACATGTAGGGGCTGAAATGCACATATTTTAAGAGCAAATGTGCAGGTAAACAACCTTTGTTCACATCTTACCAGTCAGAGTCCACAGGGGGGAGTTTTCGCTTCCTGGTTGAGGTGGTGATCATTTTCCAACTTCACCTGCAACAGTGACAAACTGTTGAAACAAAACCCAGTTCTTGGATCCTAACATGACATGATATTAACCTAAAGATTAAAATACCACAGGTGGCCAGCGGCCGAATGATGAGGTAGAAAAAGCTCATCTAAGCTCAATAAATGTAAAAAGATTAAATTAACTATAAACAGCCTGTAAAGTGTTTGATGCTTTATCTTCAGAACATTTTGCTGGAGTCTCGTGCGGCTGATAAAATTTCTTGACGGAAGTGCAAAAAACACTAAAGCCTGCAGACATATTAAAAAAGTAGCCTTGGAGAAAGACATGGAGTTTAAAGTCACGTAAAATTATCTTGTTGTGTGTAAACCAGCGCGTGAAATTGGCGCTAAATGAGGAACAATGCGCAAATAAACGTAAATAACGTAAGCACAAATGCACAATTGGCGGGATGATTAACTTACAGGTGACTCGTTTCCTTTACAATCGTTTTTAGAAAGCAATAACAACTCGCCCAAACGTAAATATTACGAATTGTTCACGTGTTTTTAAATATATACAACATTGTAGTATTAGCTGCCGTGTTTACGTATCAACGTATTTTCAAAAAAAGAAGACGAACAAAATACTCAACGTCACAACATCAGAGTAAAAACGAGGTTTTTTTTTTTGTAATTACCGAGCAGGTTTCTATTACTCCTCACAGGACAATAAATGTTTATATAAAGTTTAAGCTAGCTAGTACTCGAGTTCTGCTGCGCACTCGCGCGTTTGTGCCCTAAGCTTCGAACTGCGCGCGCCTGTCGAACAAGGTCGTTACGACACAAACGGAAGCGGAAGCTTTACACGCCAGAAATGAGTTACCAAAGTAAAAGCATTAACTTTCAAACCTTAACTTTCAAACACATTTTAATTTAAAACTAAACCTCTTTATTGGAATATCCTGATGCAAGCTCAATAATCCAGGAAGAAAAATCTAACAAAGTTAAAGTCAGGTCCTTTGGACAGATTAAAAAAAAAAACCTTTTTGAAACGTTTCGTCTTTAATCCAAAAGACTTCATCGGTCTGATGAACTGCAGTAAAATCAGTCTTATAAATAGCCCCTTATCATAGTGGATCAACCAGTTTGTTGTTGACATCCAAAACTAGCTATTCACATGATAAAGGAGGGCCATCAGCCTAACGACCGATCGTTAACGCTCTGATGGCCGCTTGCTATTTATAGAGGGTCCCGGTTGGAGGGGGTGGGGATTACCCAGTCTTTTTCCATCGGATCAAGCCAAGTCCAGTTTCTCATCAATAAATGTGATCCTCAGGGACGGCTGCTCGTGCCAGCTACTTTCAGGCGTTCCTCGTGGATGGAGTGGTGAGGTGGAACGAGGATCACACAGCAGCTGCAGCGCCGGCGAGTGCAGCAGGGGTGAAGACGTCTCTGCTGTCCTACAGTGGCCACCTCAAACACACCCTCAACCAGAAGAGCCAAAGGGTGCTTGGACGTCGGACGGTTGAGGATTTCACCAAGCCTGCTGCGTACACAGGTAACTGATGTGGAAAAGAGAATTTATCCTACAGAAGCAAACCTTGAGGAACGGCTTTTCAGGAGAAACTGTTCCTTTGTGCTTCCTGCTTCATGTCAGGTGAGCTCATCGAGCTCGAGTACCTGTACGAGCAGACGGGCAGCGTGTTTGAGGACATCAAAATGGATCCTGACACTACGGATGAGGATGCTGCCGTTGTCGACATCGAGGACGTAGATAAGGGGATAGAAGCAGATGAGGAGGACTCCACTGTCTTCCCACCAGACTACTCCTCATCCCCTTCTCCTCAGGCAGCATCCCAGTCAGGTGCACCCAAGTCTGAGTCATCCCCCGCCTCTCCTGAAGCTTCTGGAAGCCAGGCTCCTCCGCAGGACTCCTCAGACTCTGAGGTGAACATTACTCACCTCACCAAAAGACTGAAACACATCTTTGTCCAATCAGATGACAGTTTGTTGTTTTTGTTGAACTCACAGCTGTCTTTCTACTCTCTGTCTGATTTCAGGAGGAGGTCTTAGGTCCTGATGACCAGCCGGGATACCAACATGTCCTGAAGCTGGCCAAGGCCTTGGTGGAGGTTAGGAGCCTGGACGGTATCAGCGAGCCAAGGGTGGACCGGCTCGTCTCGCTCCGGCAGCGCATGTCGGAGCGAGACAAACAGAGGCTGATCTACTTGTTGAGATATCAGGAGAGGCAGATCAAGGGGCACTTCAAGGCAGCGAAGGGGAAGGACACCACCTGTCCTGGGAAGAAAAGTCTCCAACGGTTAATTGGAGTCTATAAAGTGCTAGTTTTCCAACATATGCCCTTTCTGCAGCCAAACGCGTGGGCAATATCAAGACTTATTTTCATTCCACTGAGCACATAATAAAATGCAGGCAAAACCCAATAAACAATAATAAATGAAACATATTAAAAAAATAAATAATTTATCAAATCTGAAACAAGGACGGCAGCAGGATTTGCCTAACCATCACATTCATTTAGCAAACTTTCCAGATCATTTCATTTCAATTTAACTCCATTGCAGAACTCTCATCTTGAGGAAGCACAAAGACAACAGTGGAAAGGAAAAAGAAGAAGAAAAATGTCTACTTTAAACAAAAAAAACACAACCCTCAACGGAAAAGGTGGAACAGATTTGTTACTCTTGTCGAGGCAGTTGGATTGATGGATTCAGCAATCAAGATGTAAAAAAGATCAACTTTTTTCTTTTAGCATTTGCCAGATAATTAACTTTTATTTTGTAGGTACAAATTGCCACTTCCTGTAAATGTCGCGTCATTTAACAACTTCCGGGTCAACTTTTACACGCTCAAAGTGACAACTGCAGCAGACGGTGAAAAACTAACTGATGATATTTCGTTCTGTTATTATTTTTTAATAACTACAGTGTTGTTTATAAAGTTTGAACGAGTTTTAATTCCAGTAAAATGGTGTTTTACTTCACAAGTGCCGGTGAGTGCACGAGCATCGGTTTTAGCTTTTAGCCTTTTAGCTTCCGACTCTATATTTAATAACTATTTTTATGCGTTTGTTGTTTTATATTAATGTTTCACTTAAGTGTAAGTTTTCTTGTTTTCTCTTCAGTGGTGAACCCTCCATTCACGATTTATATGGGAAAAGACAAATATGAAAGTAAGATTATGACATTTTGATGATTCATAATTAACTTCAAATCTAATCATCTCTTCTTTATTTGATTGTTTCTTTCTGCAGATGAAGATCTAATTAAATATGGTTGGCCCGAAGACATCTGGTAAGATTTTTCATTAGTATTTACAAACTCGTGTGTGTGTGTGTGTATATATATATATATATATATATATATATATATATATATATATATATATATATATATATATATATGCTGCAAGGTGGTTATGTTCAATTTCTGTTTGTAAGCTTTACTCCTGTTTGTTATGGAGTGTTGTTTTATTGTTGAGTTTATTATATTACTAATTAAACACCAACAAGAGTGTGTCATAAAAAGTTAAACACATACTTTTAGTCCAATGCGAACATTATTATTATTATTATTATAACATTTAAAGATATATGTATATAATGAAAACATAAATATAAAATGAATCAGTGCCGTAATATGAGTTAAATCAGTAAACTTATGTGAGTGTATTAATACGTAGAAGTACGGCAGTATAACCTACAAAGGTAAAGCTATAAATAAAAACAACTTGTCATGAGAGTTTGTATTTAATAATACCAATAAATTTCTTTTTACTTCACCTTTTTGTGCGTTTTCTCCTTCTTACTCCTAAGAATAAACTGGTTACAGACAATATTTTTATACATTATTCTACTTATTTACCGGTAGTTTAACATTTGTTTATGCATTTATAGCTTTACATACTGATTCACAAACTGTCAGTTTGTTTTCCGTACTTTTAATTTTTCCTGTTTTGCTTTATTTTAGAGATTCTCACTACAAAACATAAACTGGTTAGAGATTTATTTAGATATTTGTATGTGTTTGTTTTTCATATGTGTGCGCAGTAATGACTTGAATTTAATCTGTGACAGTGGTTTCTGAACTGTACCACTTTTTTTCCTTCCACTTTCAGGTTTCACGTGGACAAACTCTCCTCCGCTCACGTTTACCTGAGAATGCCAAAGGTGAAAATATCCACAACCAATTCTTATAGGCATAACATCAAAAACAAGTTCACAAACACTCTTACAGTGTTAAAAAATAGTTTTTACACTAAAGCAATGCACTGATTTATCATTAATTAATGTATATCACTCAGTTAGGTAAGCACAACCTCACAGCAGATACAGAAATATTGCAGTTAGAGTCAGATTGTTACATGTCTTGGTGTCAGACAGTTAAACAACTGTGTTGTTTGGTTTATTTTTAGGGTAAAACCATTGATGAAATTCCCCCCGAGGTGCTGATTGACTGCGCACAGCTGGTGAAGAACAACAGCATCCAGGGTAATGCAAGATGATCTGTTCTGTCAGTTATTTTTCTCTGTTTTCTGTGTGATTCTTGTGTTTTCAGCACATTGACCTTGGTTGTGTGTTGTATCTCAGGTTGTAAGATGAACAACATCAACGTGGTTTACACGCCGTGGTCCAATCTGAAGAAAACAGGAGACATGGATGTTGGACAGATCAGCTTCTTTCGGCAGAAAGAGGTCAGCAGCACGGATGGATTATTGTCCGGATAAAAATTATTCCTGATCTAAAATTGTACATTTGTCACATTGTTTGATCCAAGCATTTTTTTTTTTTTTTACTTGTCTTCGTTTTTGTTTTGATTTTTCTTCCCCATCGCAAACTGCTCTGAGTTTCTCGCAGGTGAAGATTGTCGCGGTGGAGAAGAAGATCAATGAGATCGTAAACCGTCTGGAGAAAACAAAAGACGAGCGCTTCCCGGACCTGGCGGCAGAAAAGGAGTCGAGGGACCGGGAGGAAAGGAACGAGAAGAAAGCTCAGCTCCAGGAGCAGAAGAGGAGAGAAAAGGAGGAGCAGAAGAAGAAGAAGGAGATGGAGGATCTCAAGTGGGCTAAAGAGCTAAAACCATGTTTTACCAAAACTCAGTTTAGATTGTTAATGTTCGATTTGTTTTCTCCAGGAACTATTCTTCACTAATGAAGACTGAAAACATGAAAACTAACGAGGTAAGTATTATACTATTCTTATATCTAAAAAAAAAAACCTGCACTTGTGAATCTAAAAAAGTTAAGTCTGGTCCTCTGGACATTCAAAAAACAAAACAAACTTAAAAAAAAAAGTAGAAACGTTTCGTCTCTCATCCGAAAGACTTCCTCAGTCTGAGGAGCTGTATTCAGCTCAGTCTCTTAAATAGCACCTTCTCAGAGTGGATCAACCAGTTTTGCTGCTGACAACCAAAACCAGCTGATCACATGGTCAAGAAGGACCATCAGCCTAACAATGGATCATTAGCACACTGATGGCTGTTTACTGTTCACAGAGGGCTGAGTGATACTAGCAATCACAGCATTGTAAGAGGGGGACAGTTGAACCCGGAGGCCTCCACTCCTGTTTAATGATGGACGATTTCTTTTCACAAAGATGGCCTCCTTTACTCCTCTCTCAAACCAGATCCAGAGGACCAGACTTAACTTTTTTAGATTTTTCTACCTGGATTATTGAGCATGCATCATGATAAACTTGTGAATATTTTGACTCTCCTGCAGGACGGCAATGATTCGGACGACTTTATGTGAGGTGAAAATGAGACCGAGAGATCAGGACATTCTGCTGCTGCGTTCGCTTGCTGTAACTCTTCACAGACGTTGAAATATTTTAAAAAAGGAAAACATTTTGCTTTCGAACACTCGGAACAGAAAGCAAACCTCTGAGTGATGACGCAGGATCGAGAGGTTCTACTTCTAATCAAGTTGGCTGGACTTCTCTGCACAGGAGGACATTACAGACGACAGTGCAGCTCAGTAGAAGTTGTTTTTGGGCAAACTCACAAGAGAACGTTGGTAAAAATTGTTATTTTAACAGTCATATTGATGATTGATGATAAAACTGGTGCCTGGATGAGGCTTTGTTTGAATAGTTTCCTCCACCTGTATCTTGTTGAAGCTCCTGCTTCAAATCTCAATGTGCACGTTTGTCTTCGTGTCAGAATTTATTAAATGGTGTATGTGTATAAATTAAATGTCAGTAGTGATGTTTTTTTTATTTTATTTAAACGTGAAAACAGAAACTTTAAAGTTTTTAAATACCAACAGACAATTTATTAAACCAATATATAGACAGTGAGGAAAATAAGTATTTGAACACCTGTGAAAATCAATGTTAATATTTGGTACAGTAGTGTTTGTTTGCAATTACAGAGCTCAAAGGTTTCCAGTAGGTTTTCACACTGCAGCAGGATTTTGGTCCATTCCTCCACACAGATCTTCTCTAGATCAGCCAGGGTTCAGGGCTGTCGCTGAGAAACAGAGTTTGAGCTCCCTGCAAAGATTTTCTATAGGGTTTAGGTCTGGAGACTGGCTAGGCCACTCCAGAACCTTGATATGCTTCTTACGGAGCCACTCCTTGGTTATCCTGGCTGTGTGCTTCAGTGATGGACTCTACAGATCAGGCACGCTTAGCACAGCATGTCAAGTCCAAGACTCGACAACAAAACAAGTTTAATTTACTAATAACTCATCAACACCATCACTATTCCAATAACACATTCAGTGTGAGACAACACTCCAGTAGACAATTGCATGCCAGGGAGACAGAAAAGTGGATGAAGAATTTATCTGACAGACAGCTCACCCAGCCGGAGACAGATTCTTGCCACAGAATCAGCCATCCGCATCAATAAAATTAAAGAGTGTGAAGCAGAACAACTCGGAATCAAAGTTTCATCCTGCCTCAGCAATGCTGAACCACCACCTTCCAACATCAGTAGAGAGGAGAGGGATGCACTCACCACTCTTAGCAAGGACAAAAACATCATCATTCTCCCAGCAGACAAAGGAAGGTGCACAGTGATTGTGAACCAGAAAGACTATCATGAGAAAGTTATGACACTCCTACTTTCCAATATGGCGGTTGCGTGAGCGTAAACACTGAAGAACAGTGCTGCGTACAACGAAGTTCAAATGGAGTATGTTTTTGTCGTTGTGACATTACATGTTACACGTTACTTTTGTTTGCACAAAAATAAAAACGTTCTGGAGGATGCGGGCATCGAACCCGCTTCCTCTCGCATGCTAAAGCCAGCGCTCTACCCACGGCGCGTCGACTACAGATGACGTCATGTCACTTTAACACCGATTGATTTCCGTACATGCACATTTTTTTTGTTTTGTATGTTCTTTTTAAAGTGTGACGTTATAGAAGGAACACGTCGTATCGAGTGCTGAAGAAAAACAATACAGTCCATGATGACGTTAAGTTTCAGAATCGTCCCCGAAGGTTTTACGTTTTATATGATTTATATGAAATTACTAGATTTCGTATAGATAATAGTTCCTTTTGTTTCGAAGAGAAAGGAGCTTAGACCAAAATAAATTAACCTCCTTCGAGCCGGATTCGAACCAGCGACCTAAGGATGTCTTCGTTAATCCACTACAGTCCTCCGCTCTACCAACTGAGCTATCGAAGGGGCTGTAGTGCGTCACTGACACACGCGCTCATAAAACTCATTTCTGTGCAGGAAAAGTGATAAACCTAATATTCTAAAAACTCCTGTATTTAAGTGTTATAATCTATATATTTGAAAATATTTTTTCCAACTAGTGGATTATTTAAAAAATATTACAAAAAATCATTTTTGTTTACAAGATCAGTAAATAAATAGAATTTCTGCTCCATTTATCTTCCGAGTTAAAACACAAATAAATCTGACAGCTGGATAAGTCAACGTGACTCAAAGTTATCCTAAAGAAAATTATTTTCAAAAACTCCTGGGTTGACGTCTTTATTATAAATGATTCACATTACAAATTAAGACATTAGTTGCTGCCATTTCCATCCAATCTCGTGTACGAGGAGCCGCCGGTGATTTCACGTTTGGTTGATGTTCCCAAAGAGGAAACGCAAACGAAGAGCAACTGAAGCATAAAACTTTAAAAAAAAGCAACAGACGACAGAAACGACAGATAAATTATTAATTCCTCTGAAGTGATGAGAGCGACTCTTCCTCTGGTTCACGCCGTCCACTTGAAATCCTCCGGATGAGTAAATTAATCAGAAAAGTGTTTTTCTCGTTAACAGGTTTTCATCATCTGCTCGACGTAAAGTGGTCCTCGGCGGCTTGTTTGAACTTCTTCTCCCTGCCCTTTACCAGGTTTTATTAGAACATTTGTATTTATCTTTTAAATAAAAACAGTTTATAAATCTACAAACTTGCAGTTTCTATAAATTACATCAACCGTGTTGTTCAAAAAAAGCACAATCTGTAGAAAAACTTAGTGGGAGAGAGAAAAAACTACAAGCTCCAGATCCAGGATTGACGAATTGATAAAATTTAGCAAAAACAAAAACACAGAAGAGTCTATTTGAGCTTTTCTTCTGACCGGTGACCAGTCGTGGTGCGGAGGAGCCAACGCACCGACAGGCTGCCTCTCGCTGGGCCAGAGTGTGCACGTGCAGCGTCTGCCTGCACACACACACACACCGTGTGTGTATAAACATTTGTATTGCATGTGCGACTGAGTCGGGGTGTGTTGCGTTATCCTGCTCGCGTCAGCAGCTCCTGAGCCCACGTCTTGATGGCCGAGGTCGTGTGTTGGAGCAGCCGCCACGTCGAGTTCGTAAAGGACAAGGCGTGGCCCTGGAGACACGACACCGACACCTCCCCGCTGCGAGGAGCACAAACAAAACGGTTCGTGCACATCAGGGAAAATTACACAAGATAAAATTACTTTTGTCTTTAAATCTACACTGGAACGTTTATTGTTAGATTAAATTATTGCCTCAGCTATTGTAAATTTTAAAACTGCTCCTGAATTATTTTATTTAAATGTGCTTTTTCTTACTTTTTAACATTTCAAGTTAATTCAACATTCACACTTTACCTGCTTTTTATTATACTGTACAATTTGGTAGTCTAACCACTTTAGCTTACGTTGTTATTTTATCCATTTGCACATCAAAACATTCAGCTCATTCAGCAGATGGGACCTCTGAAACTTACACTTTTAAAAACATTTAATTAGATTTGATTTATAAGTGAAATACATAGACCCACAAAAGTCCATGCTCAATAATCCAGGTATATAATCCAATAATTTTCAGTCAGGTCATCTGGACAGTTTCTTTTTTTTTTGTGCTGAAACGTTTCACCTTCCATCCAGAAGGCTTCATCAGTCAAGGAAACAACACAAAACTGATTCTTCAGTTATGTTGATGCTAAGATAGTCTTTGGCACGCCTCCTCCTCCGGTGAAATACACTGAGATCTCTAATCCCTTGAAAAACACTATTCTGTCTGAAATCTGCTTCAGAATCCTTGTTCTATTTTCATCTACACTTTCCTTCTAGCTGGGCCCCCCTCGCCACTTTCAGCTGGGCCCCCCTCGTCTACTTTCAGCTGGGTCCCCCTCGCCTACTTTCAGCTGGGCCCTCTCGCCACTTTCTGCTGGGCCCTCTCGCCACTTTCAGCTGGGTCCTCTAGCCACTTTCAGCTGGGTCCTCTCGCCACTTTCAGCTTGGCCCTCTCGCCACTTTCAGCTGGGCCCTCTCGCCACTTTCAGCTGGGCCCTCTCGCCACTTTCAGCTGGGCCCTCTCGCCACTTTCAGCTGGGCCCTCTCGCCACTTTCAGCTTGGCCCTCTCGCCACTTCAGCAGATTTCAGCACTTACACTGTATTGTTGCACAACATTTCTCTTGGTTTTAAGCTTTTTGGTTTCTTCCACAAAACACTAAAGTTTTATCTTAATTTCTGTTAACATTTGCATAAAAACTCACATGTATCGATATGAGGTTTAAGAAGCTTCAGATACATTTTAAGAGCACGTGAAAATGTAAAACAGCTGCTTTAAGTACTGACTTGCAGGAGTCCTGCAGGTTGGTCCATGCTAGCTGAAGCAGCTCAGCTAAGCTGCTCAGCGCTGGCAGGATGTAGTTCTGATGGATGAAGACGAGGAGCTCTTTTAAATATGTTAACGCCCGGAACACACTCTCCGGAGTATTTGTGTACACCTGGAATAAGGCACAAAGATTAAAACAAAGCTCAGCATGCGGTTGTTGTTAAAATCAACTTTAGACATTCGGTCTTACCCATTCTTTAACCAGCGGCGTGGTTTCTCTGACCCAGAGGACAAACCGTGCGGCGTTTTCAGAGATGAAAACAGCTGCTGCTTTTGTCTTTTCCACACCTTGTTCCCCAACTGGTCCCAACACCCGCGCGCACTCGGAGTAATAATGAGGAGCATTTTTCTCCAACCAGCTACAGAGGAAGTGAAAACACACAGACGGTCAACGGCATAAAGATTCAACCCGAGAGCAAGAACACACAAGTCGTAATTTTATTCTTACTGTGTGTGGACACGTTTAAAAACCGTTACATCAGCAGTTATTAATGAATAATAGTTCAATTGTTTGGAGTTGTTAAATGAACGTAGCCACTTTTATTGAGGAATTCATGTAAATCTGTTCCTTAAAAGTGCATAATATTGACAGTTTATTGAAATTTATTACTGAAGTCATAATCAGTGATGGCGTCCATTGACTTCAGGTATAGGAAACATCCGTGAATATAAATATAACGTTAGATATCCATCTAACTAGTTTTCATTTCATAACTACATCATCATTAATTATAACATGAGCTTTACAGGCATTTTAACAGACTTTATTTAATAAATGTCAAATTAAATAATGAAAACTAGATTTAAAAATAATTTTTAGCTAATCAAAATGTTTAATCGTTATTACTTAAAAATAAAATAAACATGAACTACGTACTTGGAAATTTTTTGTAGGCTTTTAAGCATTACTTTAGGGAAATGTTTTAAACCAAACAGAAAACCTTTTTATACAGCAGAACAGGGCTGGGCGATATCTCGATATTTTTTAAATATCAAGATAATTTCATACGCGATATAAAATGAGACTATATCGATATAAAACGGTGCATTCAGGAGCACTGGAGCCATGACGTTCAGAAAGAAACAAGCCGTAAGCAAACAGAAACGAGCTCGGTAAACACGCCAACTGCACAACGATGTGAGCTTTCTAACAGCTTTGAAAGAATATGCTTCATTAGAATCAGACTTTTCAAAGAGAAAGTCAGCCTTTCATTATGTTTGTTCTGTTTAAATTTTAAGTGCACAGCTGTGTTTTTAGTTTTGTTGTGCAGGTTGTTGTTACAGCCGTTTGTTAATAAAAGTGCCTGTGTGACAACTGGGACTAAGCTTCGACTCTGAAATATATTTTTATTACTTTATGGAATATTAATTTTGGTCCAGCTCTACAGAAAAAACAGAAAGTTGATCAGAGGCCTGCTGTCTGAATGAGCTGGATTAACGGGATTATTTTAAAATCAGTCAAGAGGGATGAAACCTGAGAGGAAGACTGTGGCCTGTGATCAGGTCGTACCTGAAGCCCTGCTTTGTGTAGACGGTTATTTTGCTCCAGGCCTGCTGAGACACGGCTGTGACGCCTGAGGAGCGCAGATACATGGCCGTGCTGGAATCTGAAACGGCACACGACATGTCAACATCAGGTTGTTGTAAATATGAGAAGTAGTGATCGTACCGGAGAAAACGGCACCGAGTCAGACCTGCGAGTGAGCCGTGAGATCTGATGTCGTGGGCGATGAAACCGGCAGCAAACACAAACAGAACCATAAGCAGCTTGGACCAGGGAAAGCCGTGACCTTGCATCTTTACCTGAAGGTTCTTGAGACGCAAAAAACAAGTTTTTAATGGAGAGACATTACTGCTGCTACGTTAAAGTTTTACAATAAGAGACACTATTCAGGTCTAATATAGAGAAAAATCAAAGACCGTATTTTTACAAATAAAAACACTGAAATCACAGATGGTAGACGTTTTTGAGCTCACCTGGCACAGCGAATTGCACTCCTGAAGGTCTCGAGATTCGCTTGCATCTTTCATCTCGTCGTTGGTCACTCGAAAAGACTGGATTGTTTCTTCAAGGTTTTTTCGTAACTGTAAATAAAAAGCACAACGTAAGAGTCAAAGTAAGAAAAAAAAATCAAAAGTTTTAAAATAGAAACCCGTAAACAAAAGCCAGTCTGGTGTATGGGTCTTCATATCGTGCATCAAAAGTCAAACCTTCGGCGGCAGAATGTTCCACGAGTTCAGTAAATGGTTCAGCAGCAGACTGGGGAGAAAACGCAGAATCGAACGTCAGTTTTGTAGTTTCTTCTCGTCGCAGTTTGAAGGAAAAGGTGGTCTCTCACCTGGACTGTGGCAGGTGTTTGGTGTAAAGCTGCCTCCACACTCCAAGACTCTGGACATCCACACACAAGCACTCCGTCATGCTGCTGAGCAACTGCAAGAAAACCAGAAAGAGTAGTTTATTACAGCATTAACTTTTTTATGCTTTTTTTTTTTTTAATTGGCAAAAACAGCAAATAAAACTGCAAAAGTCTTAGAGCACTGAATGTTATTTACTAAAAATGCATCCTTCTGAATTTCAGAGGGAAGTTTCAGCCACTTCACAATTAATTACAATTTTAATTATCTTGAAACTCATAATTCCATACCTAAATATAGAATGTACAATAACGTCAAAAATCACTATTAATGCTTAATAATTAGCAGATGCTACCTTAAGTTTCTTAGTTAGCGTCAGGTTTAATCACTGGAAGTTTATGCACAAATCAAAAATTACTAAAGGCAGTTATGATAACGTCAGCAATCATTTACAGACATATTCTCCAGGGATCAGCAGAGAAGAGATAAAAAGATGAGAATCAATTTTACCGCAACATGTTTCTACTAAAGGAAGCTGCGGCAACTCCACTAGAATAAAAAGCAACGACGAAGCAACGAATAAATTCAAAATTGTCCGTAATGCATGTAAAATATATATTATAACCCCAACCCCTGTGAGTTTCAGTACTAAATTATAACAAATGTACACGTGAACCACGTTGTAATTAAATAATTTGTCGTTCTATTAGCCAGAGCACATTTTTACAGAGCAGTTATAGACACACTGAGGAAAAAACAAAAGTGAAACCACTTCTGCAAGAACTTTTCCTTCGAGTTATTTTGTCGTCATCAAAAGTCTTTTGAAAATGACTTTCAGCAGCAGATGTGGAGCTCTCACCTCTCTCTTCATGTCGTCGGGACAATGGGGTGTAGCTCTGGACAGAAACGACGGCAGGTATGTGTGCAGCGTGCTCTCTGGTTTGGCTCCAAATGCGAGGACCTTAAGTCGAGGATACAAACACCTCAGCTGCTCCTGCAAACTGGAGGCAAACAAAGTGACGTCTCTGAACACAGAACAGACATTTTCTGAGATCATTCATCTAAAACTCAGTAAAACAGCCAGACTCAAAATTAATTTACAGAATAAATTATTTATTGGGAAAAAAACAAAACTGGGCTTGATACTTTTTATCAACAATAATCTACTGGCAAACTTGTCATTGGTTGATGAAAGCAAATTTATACAAGTTATGCAAGATGTAGTTAACTATTAAAAATTATAAAAACGCTTCAGTGTTTGAAATTAAATACAGCTTCTCTACTTTGCTCTTTAAGTCACAACTTGTTGGTGTTTAATTAGCTATAATTTAAGCTTTAGGATAAAATATCTCTGACATCTATATTAAACAAAAGGATTATTAAAGGCAGAAAAGACAAAAAGTGTTTGCATTAGTTCACATGTACCTTGGTGAGAGGGCGTTCTTAGGCATGAAGGCAAAATCAAGAAGAGGAAAGAACTCTTTAGGACCCATGATGCCAAATCCCTTCGTTAGGTTTGTATGAAGCCTACGGAAAGAATAAACTCTGTAAATAAGCTAAAATAATTACGATTACCTCCCATCAACAAGAAGAAATCTATGTTGATCAGCTCACATTTCAATAGTTACCTTTTAATACTTTACAGATTGTGTACAAGGGGGAAAGAAAACTATATGGATGTTGAATCTAAAACTGGGGCCGTTAAGATTTTCTTATGATTATAAAATAAAAAAGGCGTTTAAAGCTTCAACACTTACAGGAGAAGTCTCTCTAAGTAGGCGATGGCATACGAGGACAGTGACTTTACTCCCAGCACCGGAAGCATGATTCCCAGCCACACTGCGGCAAAACAAACAAAACATTCATGTTTTAACAGTTTACTTTCTTTTTTTATTTTATTTATTCATTAAGTGCTTCAGTTTTTCAGTCTAAACCAAAAGCTGCATATTCAACCACCAGGAAAATAAAATCCTACAAATAAAGTCGCACAAACTCGATGTTATTTTGGATGTAAACCTCTGCTGTATTTTTAAAAGAACTTCTCTCTCACCCAGTAAATATTGTCAGTAAATACCCATAGTATGAATGCACAATATTGGATTTTTTGCCAATATCCGATATGCCAATATGTTAAAACTTATTTAGCCAATACCAATAAATTTAGATTTTTACAAATCTAACCTGTTCACAAGCGACAAGTGAAAAGCACATAATAGTGCATTAATATATATACTTGACAGTTTCTTCAATTAAAAATTAACTTAAAACCGAAGCCTTTTATATTTGAGTTATTTGGATGGGATGGCCGATATTTAACTTCATCGCCAATATCGTCCGATACCAATACCATGCCGATATTATCGTGCACCCCTAATAAATAGTCAAGTTTTCAAAGAGTGGTCCTGCCATTTTGTTAAATTCAAAATTCTGCAGAATTTTAAACATTATTTTCCATGATTAACTTGTACAATGTGCGAGAATGAGTCAGTTGAGTTTTGCTGCCCTTTAAAGAGACAAATGGTCCTTAAATAACATTTTTTTCCCAGAAGGAGGTTGTTGTATAATATTCCAAGAACATTTGTCCCCCCACAGACTCACACTTACAAAACCCAGGCAGAGATTTGATCGTTACTGTGTGTGTGTGTTATTGCGCCAACGTGCACTATCCTACAGTGAACCTCCACCAACATTTCTGCAGTCCCATCTTGTTGGGAAAGGAGAATAAAGGCTAGATCTGGTTTTTACTTTCCAAACGATGTCTAAACATAAAAAAAAGAGACACGAGTTTGTAAAATAGTTTCTTGTTAACTCGGTTTGATTACCTTTAAGTCCCTGGCTGAGGTCGTAGAATCCAGCTTGACCCAGAGCCCACATGATGGTCAAACATTTGACTGGGCGGTTCTGAACGGATCGCAACAACTCCAAATACTAAAAACAAACGAAACAAAAAAAAAGATTGAAAAAATATGATAAAACCTTTTTTATTGCAAAAGGAAGATCCAGTTCTAGACATGAGTTTGACACTGAAGCAAATCAAGCTAGTAACACACAAATAAACATTTTATTTACAATAGTAGCAGAGAGGGGTACGGCAGCCATGATTAACCAGATATCTGCAGGACTGGAAGTTACAGTACTCACCTCTGTCAGGTTCTGGGTGGCTACTTTGGGCTTGTCCTGAAGAACTGCCTGAATGCAAACTCTGTATCCATGAAGGGGCTCTCCTGAAAACAAAAATAAAGAGCTTCTGGGTACTTTTCTACATTTTCACCTCTGAATTCGAGCTACGCTCTGTGTGACACTTTAAATAAAAAGATGCTGATTAACTCTCATTCCTGCCTTCAGATCTACCTGACTGTCTGTCCAGCTCCCTGAGCATCGTGCAAACACAGTAGTCGAAGAAATCGGGCAGAATATTGCTGCAACGTCCGATGAGGCCTTTAATCACGCCCCTCAGCTCTTTTCCTATAAGGCAGTATGGGTAGTCTGAGATGAAAAGGAGGAAAGAATGAGTTAAACGCCTGAATCTTGGTTTTAAATATTCACAACACAATATTAAGTCATAACGGCAGGAGTGTAGCTGACCGTGAGCGTAGCTGCTCAGTGTGGGCTCGTTATCTGGGGCTGTTAGTTTAAGGTTGAGGTATCCTGCGAGGTCTTTCATCCAGACTGAAGGGTTTTCTGGAAACAGGGCCTGACTGCGAATCAGCTGCTGCTTCAGATCCCCGACGTCCAGCTAAAATCAGAACAAGGCAGGGAAAGATTATAACTGCGTTTTAAAAAAAAGAGAGGTTTTCTTCTAATGTGGCTTCGTTTCTGCTGAGAATATTTTTAGTTTTAAAAGTCCGCTACATTGATTTCATTTGCTGAAAAAGAGATGAAGTCTTGTGAATGTGGATGATTCTTTTAAAATTAAACAGACTGTGAGTGAATTTACTCAAAAAAAAAAGAAAAAAAAAAAGACATTTTTATTCACCTAAACTCATTGTAAGAAGTCTAACGCTTCAATTCTACTAAAGCCCTGTAAAGATTTTACATAAACGTCTCTACAATTTAATTCATTCAACCTTTATTTATACAGGTCGATCCCATTGAGTTTACAAGAGAGACCTGATTTATTTAACAAAGAATGATGACAACAGTGGATACAACAACAACACAGTCACAAATTTACTTTATTTTAATTAAATCAGAAGAACCTGTAAAAATAATTAAAAAGTACTCACGGCTTTAAAAGCTTCCTCCAAAGTCTTGAAAGTTGCAGGGGTGACTGTATTGCTCGAGTTTGATTTCTTGGGTGGTTTACTTGATGAGGGCTTCTTGTTCTGCAGCTCAGCTGGAGGTGGAACCTGCTCCTTGTTCTGCTTGTTTCCAGCCTTCTCAAAACCCTCATACAGATTCTCTGACATCTTCAGGGGCACTGAGAAAAATTAATCAGCAGCGATAGTTACAATTAAGAAGCTGCGTTAAAGCCAGACTCTTCTGAAAACCTTTGTTTTGCCTTCTTTCCTCCTCACTTTGGAAACATAATGTTTCCCCTTTGAGCGACTCGCTAAACGTTCCTCCCATCTGCCCTCCCCCTCCATGACGCCCAGACATTAAATTTAATTATTTGTGTGGCTTAAAAATAAAACTATTTACCTTAAAATATCTTTACACACATAAGAGAACACAGCATGTTTATCATCCAACAAATCAAATAATCATTTTAATTTGTTAAACAACACCAGATTTTGCAGGAACAGTCAAGCGATTTTCTTCAAAAACCTCGAGCTGAACTTGAGGCTGGACGATATTTTAAAAATAAATTAAAAAGTGTCTCATGATCCAGACCAGGAAACTTCAAAACATATTTAACACCATGGGTTGCTGTGTGCTATGGTGATGATATCTTGGTGTTTTGAGCGGTTTTGTGTCCGCGGCGATGTAAACAAACATTTCTTATTTCTTCAAGGTAAAACTTTGACACGGCAGTGATCATGTTTAGCAAACTGCCAGACTTTGAACAGAACAATTTAGAGATAAAAGTTGTGCAAACAAACAAATACTTGTGTGAAGGAGATCATTCTTTGAGCACAACACTTCCCCAGATAGAAGAAATTTGAATTTTACAAAGTAAATTAAAGGAAATTATGTTTGAAACCTGGAGGGGAAAGAGGGCTGGGGTTTATTTCTAGGATCATTTGAGGACAAAATATACTTATAAATAAATCCAGCTAACAGCAGCATTACCCTGTGGGCAAAACAGGAGCTCCCATTTCTTGTTTAAACTTAACTTCCCCCCCAAGATTTTTTAAATGAATTTTAAGGGTCACCCCATCAGTATGGCAGGAGATTAGGAGTCCAGTAGACCCGGCAGAACGTGTCATCAAAGCTGCACAACCTTGTGCACATATGACTGAAGACCCCCACCCACGCTGGTAATCACAGATTTGACCGTGAACGTGGCAAATCAAAAGCAGAACCTGCACAACGTGCAACTCTGTTCTGTCTATTATCGTTCCCCATTTCTTGTCTCACTGAAACTTGCTTGTTAAAAGTTTTAGTATTTTAATGCCCTTTGTGATCTCAAATATGCAATAAGAGTACCACACAAAAAAGGGTTAAATCATGTCATCTGGACGGTTTATTTTGGGGAGAAATGTTTTGTTTCTCACTTCAGGTGCAACCCTTCTTCGTTTCAGGTGTCCTCAGGCTGTTTCTGTGAGTAGCAAGTTGGCCATCTGGCCTAAAGCATTTGATCGTTATGCATGACGATCGATTGTTTTGGGCAGATGATCCCATTTTGCACGTATTAAGCCAATTTTTGGGAATTCCACAGAAGGCTGGCTTGAAGCGCATCAAGGAGGTGCAGGCCTCAGATTGATGGGAGTCTTTCGGACGAAACGTTTCTCCCAAAAAGAAACTCCAGATGACACGATTTAACCCTTTATTGTGACTTATCTACCTGGATGATTGCGCTTTCAAATTTTATTTTTAATAAGAGTATGATATCCTGTATTATTTTGACTAGCATCATCACATTTGATCAATATTCACATGCATCTCTATCTAAACCAAATATCTGATTTTAGACTGTTTATGTTAGTGTTGAGCAACACTTAAAATTCATTTTAAAAATATGAAATTAAAAAAATAAATAAAAATCACATGATTGACTACTTGGACTAAAACTTAAAACCCCAAAACATTAACAGAAAGATGTGGTTTTGGACCCCTCTACACAGGAGCAATGTGTTTCATCAGGTTGTGGTTAAACAAACAAACAAACAAACAAACAAACACGTGACTGCTCATATTTCTATTAACAAAATACACAAACTGTGTGACATGTGCTTTGCTCTTAAAATGCAATAAAGGACAAAAATATGACAGAGGTGATTAAGATAGAAGCTGAAGTGATTAAATATATAAAATAAAAAAGGTGTTTATGAATCAAAATAATGAAGGAGAACAAATTAATCCAACATGTAAACAAAAAAACAGCCTTACAATTGAAAATCACTCTTATTTACTGAAAAATACAGATAAATAAGTAGAATATGAACCTAAAACAATGGCAGCTCGATTAAAAACAGTTACGTAAGTTGTTAAAACTAAAACAGAAACAAATGCAACTGAAATAAAGTCATAAAACTGCCAACAGATGTTTCAGATGATGACTTCCCCAACAGGCTGCGTGAAAAAGCTAATGTGCTAACTCGACATGCTAACTCCTCTTATTGCGTCTTGACTGGAGGAAAAAAAAAGGCATGGAGTGCAATGGAGTGCTCTGTTAGTGATCCATTTGTGATTAAAGCTCAAGTGTTTAGGCTACGGGAGCAATTCGAAATCAAAACAACGATAAAACAGAGTGTAACGTTAAAAACGAGTGGATTAGCTACAGCTAGCTTGTCAAATCAGATGACTGTAGTCGTGATGCGTTCAGGGTCAGCATCTCCAGACTCGTAATCTAGAATTTTTAAAATGTTTAGTTTTGTTCACCGACGAGTTCTTTAGTTAATATTAATTGTTCACTAGAAGCCAGAGGAAACCGTAACGTGCGTCCCTTTGCAGCAGGCCGTGATGACTTACGTCTGGACGGTTGGTTAGATTCTCCCAAAGCTTTCCTTCCACCGCCGCCGCCGCCGGGCTTCTTCTCGGTCTTCGCTCCTGCCGAGTTGCTCTTCTTCCCTTTCTTCACTACCTCCCATTTTCCGGCGGAGCCATTATTTGACGCCATGTCTCGGGGGATACCGTGACTTCTCGGTTTCTTGTAGCTGAAGCTGTGAGGAATAGACGCTCCGACCGTCAACGTCTTGGCAGTCCGCGTGCCACGTCTCGTTCGTCGGCATGACGTCAGAGTGATGCGTTCACGCCCCCTTAATTTAAAAACTTTTCTCCGAAGGCGAAGTTCAGACACGTTTCAACCATAATAACTTTAAAAATCTTGGCCCCGATCCACTCTGAGTGGTGCGAAACAATCTGAACTTTATGTATCTAGAAATAGGAAATACTATTTCATACTTATGATCTAGCAAATTTAAAATTTAGCTTCTCATAATAATAAGCATATAAGTCTTGTTTACTAAGCCCTAATTATATCATATATCATAATTTTGAGATCATGTCATTTAAAAAAAAATACTAAGCCTTATATATAAGATCATATTTCATAATTAAAGCCGCTAAGCCCTAATTGTGATATCATCATCACATCTTATAATGATGAGATAATAGGTTTACATCATAACTCTTCATTATGAGATCACATCTCATAACGATGAGCTACGAGTTCATAATTTTGAGACACTGAGTCCTAATTATGACATCATATTTCATTATTAGGAGATGTTGCTAAGTCATATTAATAAAATATTAATTTGACATAGTAGCTCAAAGTAGCAGGTAAATCCTATTTATCTTTAAATGATGAGCTGATAAGTCACAATGCGTTTTAGGTGGGCAATGAAGTTACTTTTGATCATTGTAGTAGGTTAGTGATAAACATTTTGATATTTTTTGTATGTGCAAAATGTTTTCAGATATCCAATATACTATATATATATACATATATATATATATATATATATATATATATATATATATATATATATGAGCATTTGTTTTAACCATATATTTTAATTTACGTTTTACACACACCATAATTCTTTAAGCAATAGTTTTATATTCATGTTATATATGAAAGCATTCTTTCTTCCTGGGTTTTTACCTCTGAGATGTTATGCATCACGTGTGTTGTTGTCATGTTATCATGTATTACGCAGACATTTTGTGCTCTTTTATTTATCTTCACTTGTGTAGTGCCTCGTGTGTGTGTCCACTATCAGCCACATGGAAACTAATCTTGGACTACAACCTGGACTGTTCACATATGTTTAAAGTTGTTTATAAATCATTTTTATATTAAAAAAAATCTAAAGTGTATTTGGAATAAGTATTTAGTATCAAATAATTAAAAGATGTCTCATAATTTTATTCTTGAGATAGAAGTTTATAATTATTTAATGATTGCTTTTGTCAAAGTGGTGGAAATGGGCTTCCATGATAAAAGTACTGTGGTTACAAAAATTACCAGCAATATTTTAAAATAATAGATTTTAAGAGATTTCTGCACCATTTTGTAGTCTCTTGTGGTGTTTAATGTCTGTCCACATCAGACAGGCCACTTCACTCCTTGTTTTTAAATCTCTGCTCAAAACTCATCTGTGATTTGATTTAGCATTTTTTTATTCTGTGTTTTTATGCTTTTTCTTTTGCTGCTTTTAATTAATTTTCAGTACTATCATTACTTTTATTTCTTCCATTCTGAAACTCCCATAGATTTTTATTAAGCGCCTTGGAGGCTGTTTGCTTTACAGTATAAATAAAGTTGACTTAACTATAGTGCCACCTCTCTTTTATTTAGTATATCTGGGAAAGAAATACAGACAAAAAGGTTAAATGTTCGGTTGCAAATTGTTTGAATGAAAAAATAGACATATTCAAATAATTTTGTAATTTTCTTTCTAGTTTGCAGCAGATTCTAATTAAAACTTTGTGTACTTATTTTTGTGTGATCTATTTGTGACAGTATAAAACAAACATTTCAAGAGGAGTTCAGAATTGTAATTTTCAAGAGCAAAACTTATGTTTATTTCATGAAATGTTCAAGTTTACTGAGGAATTTAATGGACAGATGTCATAATTAATATGCAGACATGGTGACGTAACAGCAGCAGCGTCAGGTGATGTAAGGTATTTTAAATGCTTCAAGAACAAGTGCAGTTTTTCTAAAATTCTTTTTTTCTAATGTTATTATTTTATTATATTTGTTTTCTCTTAATGGGAAGGTAACAACAACAAAAAAAGAAATGTAAAAACTAGTTGTTTGAAAATGTTTTTCTTTAGCGATGGAGCATGTTCACATTAGATGATTTAATTTTAAACCAAACAATGAGTCAGTTGACGCTTGAATCAACCTTTGTATCTTTTTTTCTTTTAATCTCATCAACTAAATGTGCCTTTCAGTGACAGCTAATGTGTCAAACACCAAAATGATCACTGATGTTAATGAACTAATCATCCTAAAATATCATTAAAAGTGAACCAGTTTCATGTTTTAAAGAGTTGCAGCCCTGAGATGTGGACAAAAAACCATAACATTAGTTATTAAACAATTCGCTCAATGAATTTTACCGTTTTGTGTGTTAATATAGATCAATTAAAGGATAATGAACTTGCATGAAGTCCAAAACATTAAAAGAATCTGCCTTTAAAGTGTGCCAGGTCCAGTGAACGGCCTGGCAGCAGGTTCACTCGGGTGACGACTCGTTGGCACGATCCTCCTGGATTTCTGTCAGAATCGTCTCAGTTCAAACAGAAGTTCAGTCGCTCGCCACAGTGAACACATTCAGGCCCTCTGCGACAGCAAGTTCATTTTGTGCTTTGTGTTAAGAATAAAAACAACATTTTTCAAGTAGAATTGCTTTCTTGGCAGCGCACCAGTAGGTTTTAGAGCCGAGTTGTAATCTGTGTATGTGAGATAAAACAGTTTGTCACATTTGCGCTGATAATTCAGAAATATATTAATCCCAAAGGGAAATTAAATTTTGTTGTAACTCATCATCCTGGTTTCATTAAAGAGTTGTTATAGATGCTGATACCTGTGGTGGGCAGTGCCGGCCCAAGCCTCCATGGGGCCCGTTTGGTTTGGGGCCCTCTATTCCTGCTAATAATGTGGATTACTGCAACCAACAGTCAGATGATCAGATCATTCACGCACCTAACATAAACTCGTTGCAACTCTGACAGTCCTGTTCACATTATCCTACAGTATGCGTATACATCATCACTCATTTTCACTTTGGGCCACATCAAGCTCATGAATGTCCTCAAAAGGTCAGACATGACAGAACGTATTGATAAAACTACCTAAACAAATTAGTAAAATATAACTTTATCTGCATTCGATGACTACTTCTAAAAATTAAATATTTTATGTTTGAGTAATTTGGCATTATAAACATAAAACTGATTTGATTGATAAAGTAATATTGAAGCACACAACTGTTATCTTGAAGTTCTTTCTGTGACCCTCTCTGTAGTGTAGAGCCTCAGAAATGGTTATGGTGGGCCGGATTTGGCCCACGGGCCTCGAGTTTGACGCATGCTATATTATTATAAAAAACATTGTGAAAAAAATAATCACAATTTTATAAAGAAATTGTGTGTAATTCAATCAGAAATCATAAAAAAATAAAAAATAAATCTCACTTAGTGGACCCCGGGGCCCTAAGCAGCCGTTTACTTGGGCCGGCCCTGGCTGTGGGCCAGAAGGATCTCTTGTAGCGATCTACCTTACTGCTGATCTGAAGAAACTGGCTGCAGATGTTGATCAGTGTAATTGGACTTGGCAGGCTCTGTCTTCTTGGGCAGCAGGACCACCTGAATGTTGGGTAGAACTCCTCCCTGCATGGTCACGTCTCCCAGCAGCTTGTTGAGCTCCTCGTCTTTACAAACACAGCTAGCTGCAAGTTTCAGGGGGGGGGGGGGGACAATCCTGGTCTTCTTGTTGTCACGAGTCAAGTTTCTCGCCAGCTCCAGGACCTTGGCGGTAAGGTACTTGAGCACCGCTGCCAGGTAGATGGAAATGCAAACACGGCACCTCCTTTTCCACTCATTTGGGATTTGGGGTTGTTGTTGAGATATTATTGGATCTTTTCAAATGCTAATCAGCTGCTCCCAGTCGTTTAAAAAAACACACCTTGTTGTCATGGTTACGCATCATAACAAATGTCCAAAAGTAAAAATGTTTCAGTAAAATTCCTTCCAGCTGCGCAGCATCCGATACCGGAGGAAACATTCATCCGAAAAAAATCATTTTACATCTGTAAAAAGAGGAATTAAATTTTTCAAAAGCAACATCCCAGAATGAATGTAAGAGCTGCTCCAGCATGCAGCCAATTCTAAAACTTCCAGGTTAACATGCTCCTAAGAAACGCTGCTGTATCGTTGCAAACAGAAAACAAGGAAGCTTCTTAATTTGTTAAAACCTCAGAGCTTTATTTCGTTCCTACTCCAGATGATGCAAGTTGGTCACATGGCTACCAGCGAGCAGAGAGGGTCTGAGGTGTTCTTCTCCCCGACTGCTCCAACTAATGTCAAACATGCTCGGCCGGGCGACGGAGCACAAGAATCCTTCATTTCCTCGGCAGCCACGGTGATGTGTTAATGCTTTACAACACATGAAAACTTAAAACAGAGGAGTAATGATAGCAGCTAAAATGTTTAACTAAGTTAACACAGTCAAACATTAGTATTTAGTAGTGTTTGTCTGCAGTGTTTGTTCGTTTAAAGAATTTATAGCCTCGTATTTGTCTGATAAATAAGTTTACACTGATGCCTCTGACATGGCCACGGAGGAATTCAATGCAAACGATAACAATAAAAAAAAAACACTTCTTTAAAACAAATTTACAAAATATAAAATTGCATTTTCCTGTATCGTTCTGGCAGCAGCCAGTCACTGCATGTTGGCGTTTTAAATCATTTCAGTCGGTTTGTTTCGCTACATTTAGTGCAACACCTTCCATCGCTCCAAATCCAAACCCCCCCCCCCCCCCACCCCAGAAGCTGTACAGATTGCCAAAGATAAATAAATTAAAACATAAATACACCATGCTGTCGTCTAAACAGGCTGTCCAAACCATGTCACGAGCGAACAATCTCCTGTGGGACAACCTGATGAATAAAAACACGTCTTGTGACGTGTTATTTCCTTTCTTCAGAGCGAGGACTTGCTGGAAGCGTGCACACGTGTGCAGTTCAAAGTCTGTGATATGTGTGTGGGCTGAACGTTCACTTGTCATTGCATCAGCAAAATATATCCATCTGCAGGCCTGGCTGCTAAAAGGCTAAACATTTTTTAATAATCTCACCTTGTAAAATCGACAAAATATAAAAAAAACCAATCCCGTTGAGTGTGAAACGTAGCGTGGTCTTCTGGAGCGAGACCTGGAGCATGTTCGTGCGTCTGCGCGTTCACTGATCAGAACTCCTCAGACAGACGCTTCACATTTCTGACCAACAGACTGAACTTGTCCTGCAGTGCAGCTGTCCTCTCTGAAAACAGGTTAGAATTAGTGGAGTAAGCCGAGCCAGGCTGCTGGACCCTAGTCCAGACTTATCTTGGTTTAGTGTCCTTTCAAAGTAAGAGTTTGGGAAGCTAGACTGTACAAGAAATCACGAGTATGTACAGCCGTTGGTAAGGTGGAAGAAGTCAGGGGAGGTTGTAAAACTTAAAGAGGGTGAGAGAAGAAATGCCACAATGGCCTAATTAAAGTACGACAGGTGAGGGATGATAATGAAAACAGGAGAAAGACTTCAGAACTCTTCCTGGTCTCGTGCTCCTTCGTCGATTTCATCATCTTCTGGTGGCGCGAATCCTTCCTGCAAACACACACACGTCAGCGTTAAGGTGCTGCTGAGGGCACACGACATCTCTGCTCTTCTATTAAATGTTCATTTTATTGATTTATTTATTTTCCCACAATTGCTTCTACAGCAGTCCCTCGCTGCTTGGTGGTTCGACTTTCGCGGACTCGCTCTTTCGCTGTTTTTCAAAGTAAGAGTGGACGTGACAACACAGTTGGCTGACTGATGGATGAGTGTCATGGATTGTTTATTTAAAATAAATTATTTTAAATGACGTGTCAACAAGTGTTGTGTCAACAAGGAAGAGGGCCGTCAACGGAGGTGGGGGCGTACCAAAGAGACCATCTTATCACAAGCAGAACTGGTTTGTTCCACTTTGGAGTAAGCTGTTGGGGGAAGAATCAGTTTTGTTGTGTGTTTCCTCGACTGATGAAGCCTTCTGGATCGAAGGCGAAACGTTTCAGCACACAAAAAAAAAGAAACTGTCCAGATGACCTGACTGAAAAATGTTGGATTGTATACCTGGATTATTGAGCACGGACTTTGTTGGAACTGTATTAATATTAAATTTGGACCTTTGGTAGAAAAGAACTTCCTTTAGGCAGAGCTGGATGAATTTTAATTGACCACTGGCTTATATCTTTATTGTATTTCAGATTTTTGTTCAACACTAAATCACTCTGCAGGGTCCCAGCAGCAGAACCAACAGTAACTACCTGGTCTTGTTGTATCTCAAAATACTATAAGTGGTAATTAATCAACTAAAGTAAGTAAAGCTGCTGAATTAACAATTTAGATAATGGGACAAACCAGACTGCAATAAACTGACTAATGCAACGAATACTAAATAACAAAATGTGACTAAATTAATACTAAATAACAAAATGTAACTAAATTAATACTAAATAACAGGTCGACTGTACGTCAGCAGCACGCTGGCGCAACTTGTAGAGCTGCTGCCTCTCAGCGAGCAGGTCCCTGGTTCAAATCCCGGTCCAGGGGCCTTTCTGGGTGGAGTTTGCATGTTCTCTCCGTGCATGCATGGGTTTTCTCCAGGTAATCCGGTTTCCTCCCACAGACCAAAAACATGCATGTTAGGCTGATTGGTAACTCTAAATTGTCCCTAGGTGTGAGTGAGAGACTGAATGGTTGTTTGTCTCGTTTGTCTCCATGTGTCCCTGTGATGGACTGGAAACATGTCCAGGGTGTCCCCCGCCCCTCGCACAGTGACTGCTGGACATGGGCACCGGTGACCCCCGTGACCCAAAATGGAAGAAGCGGGTAAAGAAAATGGATGGATGGACTTTATAAACGTCATGTTTACTTAAGAGAAATAAAAAAATAAAACGTTAGTAAAATGTATGAGTCACTTAACATTTATTTGCTAAATGGAGATAGCTTTTTTTTTTGTTAAAACAAAATGACATCTTCAATTGTGTCTGTAAATTATAAACTATGCTTATAAAACAATAAAATAAAATACTGACATGTAAAGTAGATTTTTTATTACTACGTTCCTTCAGTCTGTAAATAAATCTAAAAGAAAACATACTTTTTTAAAAACTGTACCTTAATGTATTTTTAAATCCAGGTAAATTCTGAGCTTTATACAACTTTAGTAAAGCAGATAAGTAGATTTTTGCACTTAAATTAACTATTGCCAAACAAATGTAACATATTCGTAAGCCACAGTTATTTGTATCAGACACTAAGATGTTTTGTCCTTTTTTATATAAAAATGTGTTGAAACAAAACGGTTTGTCCAGATCACTGGAAACGTTACAGGAATGAAGATTTGACACAGTCTGGTTCCTCAATGTTCCACAGACTGTTCAAGGTTGTTGCTTATTTCCAGTAACAACTCTCAGTTGTGTTTGTAAAAACAAAAGCTCGTTCTTTTCTTAGAAACGAGCGAGCGCGGCCGTGACGTCGCCACAGTGAGCACAGAGTGTTGGCGGCCGTTACCTCTGTGGCGTAAAGTATGTGGATGATTTTGCCGAGGACCGGGTTGTTGTCGTCGTTCTCGTTCTCTTGGCAGATGAGCTCAATGTCTCTCAGCTTTCCAAAGTAGAAGTCCCTCTCCTTCTCCAGTCCGTCTATTGTCAGTTTCATATCCATGATCTACGGCCAGCAGGAAGGAAAATAAGTGAACAGTGAGCAACAAGTCACTGCCAGCGTCTCTTTATCCCTGGAACTTTACATCATGTTTATCATCGAGACAACTTTGAGCTGTACCTGCTGGTTAAGTTCTACAAGCTCAGCGTCTCCTCCGTTTCGGGTCATGGGAATGTTCCTGCGGACTGATGGTGCGTTGATCTGCCTCTGTGGTGTTGGGACGCCCTTTGGTGCTGTGGGGGACGTTCTCATGGGGCCTGAACGACAGAAACACACCAGTTGGTTCCTTCAGTGGTTTGAATGTTGACTTCAGCTCACGACTCCAACCACAAACACCGATGCTTCTCAGGTCGCCCATCACTTTGAGTCAACAACATCTGAAGTTGGCTGCTATAAATGTAAACGACTGCATGGTTTTTATTTTTGACACGTTCTGTTTTTTTACATAAGAAACTAAAACTAAAAACGGACTTAAACTTGGTGCAGCAGCACCAATCAGATGTTTGACAAAAAGTATAGAAAAGTCTTAACGCACAATAATTCACCCCCCCCAGAATTATCTGTAAACTTGGTCTGCAGCAGTTGTCCATTTACACATGCAGAATTAAGATTTTATCATCATCAGTAGCAAATGTGGCTCCTTATATAAAAAAACAAACAAACTGTTTGACCTTCCAGTTTATTAATGACGCTTGGATTTCTTAAAAAAAAAAAAACACTCACAAAATTTCAAGGCTGAAGAACATTTGAGAAAAGAACAGCAAATAACAGCAACAGAGCAAACAGACATGCCTACACACAGAGCTTCATCCTCAGTCCAATGACTCCGCAGTGAACATTTGTTGGCTTTAAAAAGGAAAACTTCTTCACTTATTTGTAAAAATGCACATTTGAACAAATAGCTGGGAACGATTCTCACGCACGCTTATTTCCTTTTGTTTAGACCTTGAGAATGCCTCTTCACCCGTTACTGCACATTCATATATTTTTTTTTACTAAAGAATGTACATATAGCTGTTACCGTATTTTCTGCCGGACACGTCACGCCGCCCTATAAGCCTCATCAGTCCAAATATGTCTAATAAAGTGGAAAAATCCATAAACACGTTGCTTCGCCGTATAAAAGTTGCATCTATTCTGCACCACTGCTGACGCGTCGCGTTTGTTATGTCATCACTGACAAGCCTGAAATATGGGCCGGTGTTGTGCCAAAAATTGATTGGCTGCCAAATGGCGGCCACGGAGAGTGCATGGGAGGATTTTAACAAGATTAACACTTGAAAACAATTATTTGTTTGCTCAAAATTATAGTAAAGTTGTGTCTCAGTCTAAATTTTGCTTAATAAATGCACTTTAATGGTCAAATCAGCTGCATTTCAACACCCGATACGTGGAAGTAGGAGCGCGCAGAGGGACAAGTCGCTGCTCATTTCTTCGAAATTTAATAAAATAAACACCTAAAAACAATTATTTGTTTGCTCTAAATTATAGTAAAGGTGTGTCTCAGTCTAACTTTTACTTAATAAATGCACTTTAATGGTCAAATTAGTTGCATTTCTCCTGGGCAACGCAGAGAAATGAAGCCGATTTGACGGTTGCTCCGCGAGCTAGACGAAGGTGGCATCCTATGGCAAGCCGATTGTGTCATTAACAGCCACTTTTACCTACTACATGACACAACAGCATGCCATACTACTTGAGTGCCATCTAGCAGCTGAAAATGGTAGTGTTCAATATTTTCAGTCAGAATGAATGAAAACGGTCATATCTCATCTAAAAATTGGTTCATAAATTTGAGAAAAACCCATAAACACGTTGCTTCAGCGTATAAGTCATAGGGCATGTAAATTATGCACAAAAATACAACTTATAGGGTGAAAAATACGGTAAATAACGTGAACTTGTAATGCATCACGTGCATTTTAAAAAGGAGAATTTATTAAGTGTACCAGGCTAGTTGGGTGAAGGGTTTCCAGAAGAACGAGCTGTTAAAACATTTATTAGTTTGTATTTGTATATGGAGGCTATTGGAAATCAACCGGAACAGACTAGTTAGTAAGTCGAACAATGAAGTAAAAAAATCTGCAAGCATGGAAAACACACACACACACACACACACACACACACACACACACAC